ATCCAAACTTTTGTTAACTAATGCTAAGAGCATATAAAACCGATTGAACATGTTGTTTTTTATTAATTGATAATTTTATTCGATGAATACGTATCGGTAGAGTTCTTCATATTTGTGCTGTGTACAATCATTTGAATTTATCAGAACAGTTTTTTAATATTATTATTATAAAAACACATAATAGTATCATTCCACTGTAAACGATCAGTTTTCTCGAAATAAATCATACGATTTGTCAAAATTTGTGGCTTTTCAATGTTTTCTCTTGACGCTTACCTAACAGGAAGAAGGTGAGCTTATTAACAATTGGTTTGGTGTGTCAAATTTTTATTTTTTCAAGTAGATTGCTTTAAAAAATACCCGTCTTGAAGTAGAACGTAATTAGAGAGACACTTTATTTCCAATAAGCGCTTTACAAGTTTGTTCTCTTTTTAGCAACTTGTTTTAATCACTATCCCGTTTATATCAGTCAAATTTTACCTATTCTTAACCGCGATCTTTTATTATTTGTCCATATCAACTACAATTTGTTTTATTAATTGATATATAAGTAATTTTTATACTAGACCAGTGTCGAAGTCTTTAAAAAAAGGTAAAATGTCAAAAAAAAAAATTATAGTAGAATAAAACCTATTGGAAAAGGAAGAGAATATGCTAAAAATGGAAGAAAAAATCATCCGAGGTCGGGAAGTTGGAGGGGGTGTTTTTAAGGCTAAAAATCGGTTTATAGCGATTTTCGGCGAAACTACAAGTGCTATGGAAAAAAGTTAAATGGCAACGTTGTAGGTAACAAAAAGATCTAAAACTTTTGTATTTACACTTTTTTTACATAACCTCAAAATTTTTGTGGAAAATTCAAAAAATTAAGTTTTTGATTTTTTGAATTGAAAAATTAATTTTTTTACCTGTGCTAGGGTGCTTTATCGATATTAATTTAATTTAATATTAATATTTAATATTAATTAATTTAATATCGATAAAGCACCCTAATTTTCAAGCAAAAATTCACGCGTCAAAATATCATGTTTTTTAAAATAGTCGGTAGGCTTTTTATTCGTTAAAATCTCTACTTTCCGATAGTGTAAAAAAAATATACATTATTGTGGAAAATGTTCTCAAAAAACGCAAAATACCAAGAAAACTCGAATCGAAAAATGTTTTTCATCATTATGTACAATTTTGAGATATTTATTAAAATTAATACCGTAATTACTCATGTTGCGTAAGATTTCATGGTAAAGTAAGTAAAGTAAGATTTCATTGATAAATAAAAAAATTATAAATTGAAATATTCTACTATAATTAACAAACAATTAAGTTAATAATATTTAAATTTGATAAGACCAATAAAACTGTCATTGTTGTGGGTCAAGATATTGATCTTTTATTCCTTTTGATTCAATTAAATGAAAATAATAATGACATTTATTTTCTTAACCAGGTTCTGGAACTGTAAAAGATCAATTTTTCACGTAGAATAGTTTCAAATATGAATCTTGCAAAAATATCATTGCGTTTCTGCATTATTTTAGGTTGCGATACAACATCTGGATTTGCCGGGAAAGGAAAGAAAAGTATCGTAAATTCATTAATAGACGCTAAAAATGTGTCAAGTTTGGCTAACATTTTTTATGAAAAAGATGCAAATAAACAAGATATCGCAAAGAATGGATTACAATTAATCAAATCTATTTATAAGTGCAAAAATCATAAGCTAACGCTGAATCAATTACGATTTCAAAAATATCAATTGGCAAAAATCAAATCATCTTTCGTATTGGCAAATCTCCCACCCGCAGAAGGTGCAGCAGAACAACATTGTTACAGGGCATATTATCAGCTTCAAACATGGCCGGGCAAGGAACTGATAGCAAGAGATTGAGGCTGGAAACAACATCAACGAGGCATTATGCCCAAATTGACAGAAAAGGAATTGGTCCCGGAAATGCTGCTCAAAACTATTTGCTGCAGCTGTGAAACTGGATGTAACATTTTAAAATGTGGTTGCCGAAAATATGGTTTGAAATGCACAAATTTATGTTCAAGTTGTCACGGCTCAGAAAAGTGCTCTAATGTGGAGGAAAAAGCCTACGATGAAATTGTGGATGAGGAAGTAACGCAGACAGGAAACAATATTGTAGATGAAGACGGTGAAGGTCTTGAAGATTTCGAAGATCTTCTAGAATCAGAAGGCGACGAAGGAATGCCATCAAAGAGGCAAAAATTAATGCCCTAAAAAATATTATGATAAACATAAACATCCTAAAAATATATATTGTAAGATTGCCCATGACAAAATGTAATTAAACATTAATAAACTATCTTTTTAAATGTAAAAAAAAAATCGTAAAGCAGTCACATTTTTTTGATGAAATTACCTTTAAATCCTATCTTAAATATTTTTAACAGCTATTTTCACATGTCTTTTTGCAATCTTAATGTTTTGTGGATTTATAATTTTTTTGTTTTTCAATGTATCATGAAATCTTAAGCTACATCACTAATGACAGTATTAATTATAAGAAATATTTCAAAATTGTACATAATAATGAAAAAAGAAAAATTTTCGATTTGAGTTGTTTTTATTTTTTGCGTTTTTTGAAAACATTTGCCATAGTAATGTATATTTTTTGTTACACTATCAGGAAGTAGACATTTTAACAAACAAAAAGCCCACCGACTTTTTTAAAAAAGCTGATATTTTGACGCGTGAATTTTTGATTGAAAATTAGGATGCTTTTTCGATATTAAATCAATATCAGGTAAAAAAATAAATTTTTCAATTCCAAAAAATTACAGTGTGTTTGGTACATACTAAGACAAGTTTTCATCAAATTTCGTAAAATAAAAATTTTTTTGTAAAAGATAAAAAGAAAAAACGAAAAACTTAGTTTTTTGAATTTTCCACAAAAATTTTGAGATTATGTAAAAAAAGTGGGATCAGAAGTACTACCAAATATAAAGGGATACGAAATAGAAAGAGCTTTAAAAGAACTAAAAAATAATAAATCTCCAGGACACAACGGTATAATTGCCGAGCTCTTGAAAACAAGGAAGACATTAACAATCCCTGTACTAACAGCTATTTAATAGATGTTTCCATAATAGCCAGATCCCTAGAAAGACTAGAAAGACTAGAACGAGAGTCTAGTAATACTCTTACACAAAAAAGGGGACAAATGTGATCTACAGAATTATAGACCTATATCGTTGCTCAGTCAAGTATACAAACTATTTATGAGAATTATTAATAACCGGTTAACCTACAAAATGGATAATTACCAACCGGTTGAACAGGCTGGCTTCCGCAAAGGATATAGTACATCAGACCATCTGCTGACAATGAGACATTGATAGAGAAGGCAAATGAATACCAACTACCCGTATTTCTTGCCTTCGTCGACTATGAAAAGGCGTTTGATAGTATCGAGATGTGGGCCATAGAACAAGCTATTAATAATTGTAGAATAGATTCGAGATATAAGCAACTAATACATAATATATATGAAAATGCAACTACGATAGTACAACTAGATAAAAATACAAATCCCATCCCCATTAAGAGAGGTGTGAGACAAGGAGACGTAATATCGCCAAAGCCTTTCAACCTAGCCCTTGAAGACGTCTTCAAAACTACAAATTGGTTAACCTATGGCATTAACGTTAATGGCAACAAGTTAAACCACCTCAGATTCGCTGACGACAGTGATTATAGCGAGCACATTCGAGAAACTGCAAATTATGTTGGGGGAACTAGCAGCCAGCTCCCAATACGTCGGCCTAAAAATGAATATGAAAGAAAAACAAAAGTAATGACAAATACAGATGACCCCAGACATATAACTATAAACGGCAGTGAGATAGAACAAATCCAGGAATATATCTACCTAGGGCAAATCCTGAGACTTGACGAAGAGAACCAAAGTGCGGAAATTACAAGAAGAGCAAGACTAGCATGGGCAGGATTTGGAAAACTTAGTTGGATACTTAAGAACCGCAAAATACCCCAATACTTGAGGAGCAAAGTGTTCAACCAATGCATCCTTCCTATCATGACATATGGATGTCAAACCTGGACCCTAACCAAGCCAAACATGAATAATCTAGCCACAACAGAAAGAACAATGGAAAGAGCAATGTTAGGTATACGACTGTCAGATAAAACGAGGAACGACTGGGTAAGATCCAAAACAAAAGTCGAGGACATAACAACAAAAATTGCCAAACTTAAGCGGAGCTTCGCGGGCCACACTGCTAGACAGAAAGACCAACGTTGGAATACTACAATACAACATTGGAGACCTTACGAAAGTAAACGACCAAGAGGAAGACTACAGATGAGATGGGTTGATAACATTAAAAGAATAGCCGGAACACATTGGAAATATGTTGCTCAGTATAGAGACCGATGGAAGGAGTTGGGAGAGGCCTATGTCCAAACATAGACGACAGAAGGCTGAGAAGAATGTAAAAAAAGTGTAAATACAAAAGTTATAGATCTTTTTATCACCCACAACTTTGCCATTAACTTTGTTCCATAGCACCGAAAATCGCGATAAACCGATTTTTACCCGTAAAAACTCACCCCCTTCCACGTCCCGACCTCGGATGGAGTGGAATTTATTTTTTCTTTCATTTTTAGCATATTCTCTTCCTTTTTTCAACAGGTTTCATTTTGCTATAATTTTTTTTGGTTTCAAAAATTATCAATCCTGGTCTATATATATGTATGCTTTGTTTTAGTACTATTTTTTATGTAATTGTTATAAAATACTCCCTTAATTTTTTTTTCTATTTGAACCGACAAACTTTTTGATTTTATTTCGAAAGAACATTTTTGAAGCAATCTATTTCGTTTTGTATTATTTATTATCGTGTGAACACCTGTTTGTATTTAGTTCCCTTTTTTTACCTTATTTTTGTACACTCTTATTATATTTGGCTTTTTTTTTCTAACATTTTTACCCTAACAGTTTCTCTAATATTGTTACAATTTATAGACGATAGCAAGAAGGAACTCCTCGAAAAAACCAAAGCCGAAGATGCTAAAATACGCGACAACAACAACTTCTACACTTCCACTCCGCTCAGGTCAGCTAACGGCAACGTTTCGGAACTTTCGTTGGCAGCTTCAAATGGCAACTACAGTACCACCAATACTCTTAATAGCGACGATAGTCCTTCTAAGGTTTTAGCTAAAGAACAGCTGATGAACAGTATCAACGCAAATACGATGGTAAATGGTGAGTAAATGCTTTTTGCAATTGATCGTAAAATGTTCAAACGGTTTGATCCATGAAGCTCAATCAAATCTTTCAAAAATTGTGTTCATTTCAGGCAACTCAACCAATACGACAACGATCATCGCTGAAATTGAAGGAGAAACAAAGAAGAAGTCGAAGCATGTCGTTGACAAGACCTATTACATTGCAAAAGAGATTTTAATGACAGAACTGACTTACAAAAAAGATTTGGATGTAATCAATGTTGTAAGTACATTTTAGATTTACGTGTCGAAGATTTATATACCATACCGTTTCACTAAAACAAGTTTTATAATGAATGTTTATTTTATCGTCATTAAAAAGAGCACATTATCATTTAACAACCAATTACCATTTTCCAAATCAGCATTACCTTCAAAGTAAGCATTCTCGTAATCAAAATCAGCATATTTTAACTATTAATACAATATTTATAATCAAAATCGGCATTGTTGTCATTAAAACAAGCATATGACTGCCAAAAAACAATCATATTTACCAATATCAGTATTATTATCAAAATGAACATCATCGTAACAAAAATCTGCATATTTTTGTTATTGAACAAAGTTTTGCAGTCAAGTTCAACCTTATCGTCAGTGGAGAAGCAAAATTTAACGTATTTTTACCGTTAAACGAAGCTTTACAATCAAAGTCGGACTTATTGTCATTCAAATAAGCATATTATCATCAAAAGAAAGGATTGCCATTATCAAAATCAGGATTATTGTCAAAATAAGCATTATCGTAATCAAAATCAGCACATTTTATTATTTAAACAAGCTTTTCAATTAAGTTAAACTTTATTGTTATTGAAGTAAGCATTATCGTAAGCAAAATCAGTATATCTTTGCTATAAAAAACTAGACAATAAAAATGGGCCTTATTGTCATTGAAAGAAGCAAATTATTGCTAAAAAGGAATTATCGTTATCAAAGTCAGCATGTCATCAAAGTAAGCAATATCTTAATTAAAATCAGCGTATTTTTGCTATTAAAACAAGCTTTACAATCAAAGCAGGGTCTATTGTCATTTAAATAAGTTTCTTCTTCTTAACGTGCCCTATCAAGTCCCCTTGACGTTGGCCATTAACGTGGCGAAACTGTCTCTGTCTCGAGCTATTCTAAAGAGTTGCTCAGCTTTCCTTATTCCTGTCCACTCCCTGATATTCTTCAACCAAGAGGCCTGCTTTCTACCAATTCCTCTGCGTCCTTCGATTTTACCCATCATAATAAGTTGATGAATATTATATCGGTCTCCTCTTACTACGTGTCCAAAATAGGCCATCTTTTTACATTTGATGCAGCTCGCGAGCAGCATTTGCTCTCTCAAAGACTGCCAAATTTGTCAGCATAGCCGTCCATGGAATTTTTAGTATACGTCTGTGCAGAAGGCCTCCAGACGATTAATGGTGGATATTTTTAATGTCCATGCTTCGACACCGTATAAGAGGACTGATCAAATGTAGCATTTAACCATGCGCTTTCGAAGTTGAAGTTGCAAGTTATCATTACAGAAGAATGACCCCATTTTTAAAAATGTCGTGCGGGCTATCTCGATTCTACATTTTATCTCTTGATCTGGATCTAGTTGTTCAGTAATATGGCAACCAAGATAATTAAAACTGGACACTCTTTGAATTATATGACCATCAACATATAATCGTGCATCTTGATGTACTAAACGGCTAAACACCATGTGTTTTGTTTTTGAACAGTTTATGTTTAGGCCAAACTCTCTTCCCACTGTATCAATGGCATTTAAAAGGCATTTTAGTCCATTCAAATCATCACTTAAAATAACTGTATCGGCTGCATATCTGATTGCATTTATCAGAATTCCATTAACTTTCACGCCCCATTCCAAATTATGCAGCGCTTCTTTTAAATATTCTATCTGAATATAAATTAAATAACAGTGGGGATAGTATACAACCCTGTCTGACACCTCTTTGTATTTTACATATTTCTCTTGATTTTCCGTTTATGCAAGCTGTCGCTGTTTGACGCCAGTATAACTTTTCTATGAATCGCATGTCTTGACTATCAACTCCTTTATCTTTTAATATTGTAATTAATTTGTGATACTGTACTCGATCAAAGGCCTTTTCATAGTCAATAAATACAGCAAAGACGTCTTTCCTTTGATCTCGACTTTTCTGCAGTAATACATTTAGTGCAAAGAGGGCGTCCCGAGTTCCCAGTCCATTTCTGAAGCCAAATTGTGTTTCATCCTGGTCTTCTTCACATTTATCTCTGATTCTACTGTGGATGATGCGTAGAAATATTTTCAAAGTGTGGCTCATAAGGCTTATCATTCTATAATCGCTACAGTTTTTCGGACGTTGTTTTTTTGGTAGTGTTATGAATTCGGACTTTAACCAATCTTCAGGAATATCACCAGTCGAATAAACATCATTGAAAAGCTTGACCAGTATTCTAATGTTCTCCTTATTTATAAGCTTTAACATCTCTGTCGGTATGTTATCAAGGCCAACGGCTTTCTTGTTCTTTGCTAACTTTATAACATGCAGTATTTCTGATTTTAGTATTTCTGGTCCTTCACCTTCAACTAAAGTCTCCAGTTCTTCGGGTCTATCATCATTATACAGTTCACTTATATAATTACACCATGTTGTTCGAATTTCATGTTCGTCTATTATCATTTTTCCCGACGAATCGGTTATAGTATGTGGAGTTTTCTTATGATAAAGACCAGCTACTTCTGAAACTTTTTTAAACATATTAAACGTATCATGTTTTTCATAACTCCTCTACTTCCTTGCATTTATCCTCCTATCCTATCCACCTTTATTTTTAAATAAGCATATAGTCATCAAAATAAAGGATTGTCGTTGTCATAATAAACAGTATCATTAGCATTATCGTATTTAAAATCTGCATATTTTGGTTATTGAAACAAACTTTTTAATCGAGTTCAACATTATTGTCATTAAAGAAGCATATTATCAACAAAAAAGTGATTACATGGTTATCAAAATAAGGATCATCATGAAAATCAGCCTTATTATCATTAAAAGAAACATATTATTGTTAAAAAAGGGTTATGGTTATCAAAATCAGCATATCATTAAAATAAGCATTATCGTAATTAAAATCAGCGCATGTTTGCTATTAAAAGAAGCTTTACAATCAAAGTAGGGCCTATTGTTATTCAAATAAGCATATTGTCATCGAAAGAAAGGATGCTCATTGTCACAATAAACATTATCGTCGAAATAAGCATTATCGTAATTAAAATCAGCATATTTTTGTTATTAAAACAAGCTTCACAATTAAAGTCGAGTCTTATTGTCATTAAAAGAAGCATATTACCACAAAAAAAAATCGTTACCAAATTCAACGAATTATCGCCATCGAACTCATCACTGAACGTTTTCAAATTATATTATGACTTTTATTATAATGACTTATATATTATAATAAAACTCAAGTTAAATCGTTTACTGTTTTAGTGGTTCAGGGATGAAGTAGGAAAAGAAGAGCCTGAAGAATGCCAAATCCTCTTGTCACTAATAGCGCCTTTGGCCCAGGCGCATGGTCTCCTGGTGAAAGATCTAGAGAAGAGGCTAAAGAGTTGGGACATCAAAGGAGGTCCGAGGGCGGTACCAATGGCGGAAAAAGTCGCTGATGTCCTTCTGGCACATCTTCCACCTCTCTTGCCGGTAAGAATTGTGTTTACTACGTTAAGAATAGATTCTCTTAGCATTTATCTCATCCCTACAGTTATCTTGTAGACGTTTTAAGAATATTTTTTCGTTTAGATTTATGAAGAGTACCTCGACGGCCACATGCTAGTCCTAGAACGTCTCGATACAGCTTTCAAACAAAACAACCGCTTCGAGCAGCTCTACCGCGACTTCGAAACTCAAAAAGTCTGTTATCTTCCGCTCACGACGTTCGTTCTGAAACCTCTCCACAGGCTGCTTCAATATCAGTCGCTCTTGAAACGGCTTCTGAATTACTATGACGAAAACCACCCAGACAGAACGGACTGCAGAACCGCCATAGACACGTTGAAAGACTTAATGCAGCCAGTTTCGGAAACTCTGGAACAATCCAAGAACCTCGCCACGTTGTGCGAGTTGCAAAGAGATATTGTCGGCTTCGACAATCTGGTTCAACCTGGAAGAACGTTCATCAGGCACGGGTGTCTCTTGAAGCATTCGCGAAAGGGCTATCAACAAAGAATGTTCTTTTTGGTAAGTGTTTTTGATTAATTGTTTTCTTTATATTTTGCTTTCTTCTATCGTTTCTGAAATTTATTTCATTTCTCTTTTATATTCTTTTTGTTGTTTTTACTATTTTTTTGTCGTTATATTGCATATTATTTGTACATCTTGCCTTCACTGCTTTAATTTTTCTATTAAGTAAAAGAAGAACCACTATTATATTTCTTTTTTTTTTAGTTCTCCGATATTTTATTGTATACATCACGATCGCAAGCCACTCTACAGTTTAAAGTCCACGGACACATGCCCCTTAGGGGTGTATTGATTGAAGAACCCGACGGCGATTTGATGTTTAACGGTTTGATCATTTATGGCGGCAATAGAGCACTAACTGTAGCTGCTAATTCGTTGGAAGAGAAGGAGAAATGGAAGAACGACCTTCAACGCGCGATACAGATGGCCAGAGATAAATCCGATACAAAAATTACATATTTGAGTCTTAAAAGTTGTAGTAAGTATCTATTAATATTTACAATAAAACATCAGCAGCAAAAACAGGTCAGAAATTTGCAGTTTTATCTGTTTCCTTAGGTTCTTCGGACGAACACATAGATCAGGTTGGCAACAATGACGTTGGCACTCAGACTAAACCGCAGGCACAGAGAAGCAACACCACTGTACACGTGTGCTGGCATAGGAGCACCAGTATTAGCATGAAAGACGAGTTATTGGCTGTGGAGGTAAGTTATTTCCGTTTATTTTGAATTTAGTACCAAGAACTGCCAAAATTGTATGATCATGTGGTTATTTCGAGGTTAATATGAAAAGTTTTTGAAATACTATTTAAAAAATAATTTTATTATCTAAACATGTAGTTGTTTCTCATGGTAGTCTATCTTTGACTCATTTCTTTGTGTCCGGGTGTTTTTCCTGAACGTCCAATTTAAAAAATCTATTTGAAATTAAAAAAATCTTAAGCCATAATATTACCAGTCCCCAAAGTGACACGGAGGTTACTAGAAGCATTTTACATTTAGTTTATGGTGTATAATATGTGGTATCTCGTTAAGAGAAGCATATTATTGCCATAACAAGGATTATCGTTGCTAAAATCGGCATTTTTATGCATTATCTAAATTAAAATCACCATATTTTAGTCGTCAAAACAAGTTTTGCAATCATAGTCGGATATCTAACATGAAAAGCAGCATATTATCTTTAAAAAGTATATTATTTTGTCAAAATCAGCATTATCATTAAAGCAAGCAGTACCGTAATCAAAAACATGCATATTTTTATATGTCAAAACAAGCTTTATGGTCAAAGTCAGTCGTATTGTCATTAAAGGAAACATACGATGACCCTAAAAAGGTTTACACTACTTATCAAAAAAAGCATGGTCATCGAAATAAGCTTTATCGTAAGTAAAATCAACATAGTCGGGCTATATTGCCATTAAAAGAAGCATATTACCACCAATAAAGGTTTATTTTTGTCAATATTCAGCATTATTATTAAAGTATGCATTACCGTAATTAAAATCAACATGTTTTTGGCAATTAAAACGAGCTTTATGGTCAAAGTTGGCCGTATTGTCATTAAAGAAAGCATAGATGGCTATGAAAACGTTTACAGTTCTCAAAATCAGCGTTATCATCGAAGTAAGCATTATCGTAATTAAAATCACTGTATTTTATTTTAAAACATGCATATTACCACCAAAAAGGATTATCTTTGGTAAAAATTGACAAAATACATTACCGTAATTTAAATCAACATATTTTTGGCAGTTAAAACAAGCTTTATAGTTAATATCGAGCCTTTAAAAGAAGTATATTACCACCAAAAAAGAATCATCTTTGTCAAAATCAGCATTGTTATTAAAGTAGGTATTATCGTAATTAAAATCAACATATTTTTAACTGTCAGAACAAGCTTTATAATTAGAGTCTGCTGTATTGTCATTAAAGGAAGCATATAATGGTCATAAAAATGTTTACAGTTGTTAAAAACAGCTTTATCAGCAAAGTAAGCATTATCGTAATTAAAATCGCCATATATTAGCTATATAAAGACAAGATTAAAATTAATATCGGGCCTTATTCTCATTAAAACGAAGCATATTATCACCAAAAAGGATTATCTTTGCCAAAATCTGCAAAATTTTTAAAGTAGGCATTAACGTAATTAAAATCAACATATTTTTAGCAATTAAACCAAGCTTTATGACGAAAGTGGGCCGTATTGTACTAAAGAACGTATAGATAGCAATAAAGAGGTTTACAGTTGTCAAAATCAGCATTAAAGTAAGCATTATCGTAATCAAAATCATCGTATTTTGGCTATAAAAACAAGCTTTATAATTAATGTCGGTGCTTATTGTCATTAAAAGAAGTATATTACCACCAAAAAAGGATTATCTTTGCCAAAATCCAGCATTAATATTAAAGTAGGCATTACGGTAATTAAAATCAACATATTTTTGGCAGTTGAAACAAGCTTTCTGATCCAAGTCAGTCGTATTATCATTAAAGAAAGCATACATGGCCCTAAAAACTTTTACAGTTGTCAAAATCACCATTATTATTGAAGTAAGCATTATCGTAATTAAAATTACCGTATTGCAGCTATAAAACAAGCTTTAAAATTAATAACGGACATTATTGTCATTAATAGAAGCATATTACCACCAAAAAAAAAATATCTTTGTCAAAATCAGCATTATTATTAAAGTAGACATTACCGTAATTACAATCAACATATTTTTGGCATTCAAAAAAAGCTTTATGGTCAAGGTCGACTGTATTGTCAATAAAGAAAGCATACATGACCATAAAAAGGTTTATAATTGAGAAAAACAGCATTATTATCGAAGTAAGCATTATCTAAATTAAAATCACCATACTTTACCTATAAAAACAAGCTTTAAAATTAATGACGGGCTTTATTGTTATCAAAAAAGGCATATTACTACCAAAAAAAAGGGATTTTCTTTGTCAAAATCAGCATTATTATTAAAGTGGGTATTATCATAATTACAATCCACATATTTTAGCATTCAAAACAAGCTTTATGATAAGTCGGCTATATTGTCATTAAAGAAAGAATACATTGCCATAAAAAGGTTTACACTTGTCAATCAGCATTATCACCAAAGAAAGCAGTATCATAATTAAATTCAGCCTTTTTTCATGTTTACTTTATATTGTAAAATATGCGGTATCTCGTTTTTTGGCATGCCTACTGCCTCTTACATCTCTCTCGTTTATCTAGAATCACATTTTGTTCTGTAGTTGCTGTTTTTCTTCATGCGGGTCATCTCTAATCATTGTTCAACTACATTAAACATCTGTAAACAAGAAACTTACTTAACTGATCGAATCTACACATGCTAAAACAATATAACAAGACAGTAATTTGATTAGTGGTTGTGCTACCTAGACCGATAACTTTTCACCTAATTCTTGTATACTAAAAATATAATTTTTCTTTCAGAATCAACTCTCTGGCTATCTTTTAAGAAAATTTAAAAGCAGCAACGGTTGGCAGAAACTCTGGGTGGTATTCACGTCTTTCTGTCTGTTCTTCTACAAAGGTTGCATCGACGATTTTCCCCTAGCGTCGCTACCCTTACTGGGGTACACTGTCAGCCCCCCTTTGCGAGAAGACATGATCTCGAAGGACTACGTATTCAAGCTGCAATATAAAAATCACGTCTATTTCTTCAGGGCGGAATCCGAGTACACGTACAACAGGTGAGTTCGAGCTTTATTGATTTGATTGAGGCTTTTGATAGGCTAAAACTTTTCTAAAAAAAATGATTGCATCAATATATTGTATTTCTATGTATTTTTTATCTGTTTCTATGCTATTCGTCCCTCAGTGAGAAATTTAAGTGCCTTGTTAGATTGTAGTAGAAAGAAAAGCTTCGTAAATGTAATTAAACATATTATGTTGTTTATAGATGGATGGAGGTGATTGGTAGCGCCACTCAAATCAGGAAGAGGAAGGCGGCAGTGGTAAACGAAAACCAAATTGAAACTTCTTCGGAGAAGTAGAGCTCAAGGATATTACTTAATATTTGTTTTGATATTATTTACAAAAAAAAACGTCCTGAAAAGCAGCTAAATCAGTTTATATCATACGTTAAACCTGGTGAACACGTAGAAATCCATAATATCTAGGTATTATACTATTTTATTGTAATTTTTTTTATAAATGGGAGCAATGTGAAGATAGAAACAATTGAGTAGTGTTTAACATTGTTCACCTGGTTTAATGTTCTCTGTACTATTTAAAATGTATCAGCCATATACATTTTTAAAACATTTAACAGTCTTACATGAAATATTTTAAAAATTTGCTGTGAAAAACGAATTTACTAGTATCCTTCTTTTAGTTATTTGTCTAATTGATATTTTAACCTTTTTATTGGTCTGAAAATGATATTTTAGAAATCGTTCAGGATCGGTCTTCCACATTCAGTATTTAATAAAGCAATCTTTAGACTTTTATAATAAGAACTGACGTGTACATTCCATAAAACGTTGAATTTTTATTATTGATTTTAGAAAAATGTCATCAGCGCCATCTATTAATGACAAAACTAGTTTATTTCACAGAACATGAACTTATGGATGACGTAGAATTGAAACAAATGTAGTAGTAATTAAAAATGGCGATAGGTGTCGCTGTTGACGTTTTCTAAACTCACAGGATATTTATAAATATTAATTTTCTATTCGTACCAACTGTTTTAACAAAGTGCCGTCTAAAAAATAATACAGCTACTAACATTTGTAATATTTTTAAATACAATTAAAATTTTAAGTGTGATTTTTTACGGAGCAGCTACAAATATTTATAATTTATTAATAAAGAAATTAAAATATGCATTTAATTTAGATAAAATATTTATGAGCTACTTTTTTAACATATAAAAATATGTTTAAAAGACATATAATGAATTTTGAGGGCTTAAATTTACTTTGTCCCGCACATTGTGTAAGAATTTTTTGACTTTGTACAATCAAAAATTTAATTTTGTTCTGTATGAGATTTGTTGATTTTGAAGAGGCCTTTTGTAGTGTATAACAACTTAAAAATGGTGGAATGTAACTCCCAAATAATGCTTTTTACCGAGTGGCTAGCACAGATAAGGAGAATTCCAAACTGTTTCAGCAGTTAAGGCATTTAAAGGAAGTAGAACGACTAAAAAAAGAGTAAATATAAAAGGAAAATGATTGACTGACAATTTTAGACATTTTTCTCCAAATTTCTTAAATTATCTCTCCATATCGGGAAGAAACGTTGTGGAAACTACGATAGAGACATAAACAGAATAAAAAAGAAATAAATTCGGAAATAAAATGATAATAAAGATTTTATTTATATACAGGTCTGAACAAGTGTTGGGAAAAAGTTAATTTCGGCCCAAAACAACGATTCGACGACATCGTCACAAAATATTTATATCTATTTGATCCTAAAGTATTAAAAAAGAAAACTATGCGTAGCTTTATTAAATCCATTCCTGTATTTGTACGAGTGCCTTCGAAATTTTCTAGAATTTTTGTAAATATGTATAATAGGAGGAAATCCACTGTACTTTTGTGACTTATTGTGAACTAAGAGGCAGCTGAGTGATTTTATTTTATTTTATTTGTGAAAGGATATGAATATATTTATCGATTAATGTATTAATTTTAAACTTATGTAATTTTAATTGTTATTTTATTTAAACAAAATAAAATGGTTTATTAAAAGTGATTTCTGATTTTTTTTTATTTATCCAACATATAGCTATGGGAAGGATATGTGGCCAAAACCATAAAAAATGGGTGTAATTAAAACATTCTGACAAAAATTTAGAATTTTGGCAAATGCCCGAATTTTTAAAAGTTTGGTAAATGGGCGAAGTCTAAAACTCATTAATAATTTGACTGCCGTGTGTATCCAAAAGTATACACACGTGAGAGTCAACATCGCTGCGTGTATACTTTTAGATACACATGTAAAGTTATGGTTGGAGCCATGTGTATATTCAAAGAGCGCAATACCAATGTATCTCATATGGGTAAGTAACTGATGTGGCCGTAGGCTGCATAAAAATATACTTAGCAGTAGGAAATTATAAAGTTTGCATTTTTTATTACGATTTTATTAGCTATACCAGGGTTGTCCACTTGGCGGCCCGCGGGCCGCATCCGGCCCGCGAGGGTATTTGTTGTGACCCGCGTATATTTTCTTTAAATTCTGCCACTGTGAAAAAATATTTTTTAATTTATTTTATTTTTTATGGTTTAGCAGTGTTTTACATCACAAGTACTGTACCGCGTGCCGCTTCGCGGACGTGTAACGAACACAATCGTCCTCCATCACTATGAGAACTGCACTGATTACTGCGCATCACAGTTCACGCAGGCCACACCTCCCACTGCTTACCATCCGTCGCCAGCCGCCATCGTGCCAGTGTGCTACTGGCACGTAGAATAGAATAGAAATATGCTTTATTGTCACTGAAAATTATTGAACAATTTTATGGACAATGCTAAAAAATAAATGAGTCAAATAGTACAAAAAGTATAAAACAAAAACAAATATAGTAAAAAACAGAATAACACAATTTTAAATTAGTAAAATTATTGTAGAACCTACATAATTTGTACAGACAACAACAAATGAGACAAATTGTAGCCACTGCTTGAGACACCCAAATGTAATAATAAACAATACTAATTTTGTTTCTTTGTTATACATTAAGAAACTCGTCAACTGAATAATATGGTCTTTCTGAGAGATAGATTTTTGTCACCTTACGAAACTTAATAAAGGATGTTGCGGATTTAATTTCTCTTGGAAGGTGATTATAAAGTTCCTTTGCACGATATAGAATAGAATTCTTTACTAGCTGAGTGGATGGGATCGGCAAAAAAACGTTACAATCCGAATTTCTAATGGAGTAGCCATGGTCAGGTCTATCGGAAAAATGTTTAGATGCTTTCGAATCAAACAAACAGTTTCCAAAATAAATAAAGAGGGAAGCGTCAAAATTCCGTGATTTTTGAAGTAGGTCTTGCAATGAGTTGTTTGTTTGAGACCAAATAGATAACGGATTGCTCTTTTTTGCAACTTAAAAATAGTATCAAATTGGGCCGCTGTACTAGAACCCCAAAATGGAAGCCCATATCGAAGATGGGACTCGAACAATGAGAAATATGTCATTTTGGCAGAAGATAAATTTAGTTCCTTCGAAACAGATCTTATTGCAAAGCAAGCTGAAACTAGTTTCTTCCTTAAGGAGTCAGTATGCAAGGACCATTTGAGATCACTGTCAATGAGAATACCTAGAAATTTCACGGAATTTACGATATTGATTTGGCTCTCATTCAAAAGCAAGGGTTGCATGACTCCTTTATAAGATAATGCTACAGTCTTATCCACGTTAAAGCTAAGTAAGTTGGAGTCTGACCAAGCCTTGATTATAAGTAAATCAGCGGTTATAATTGAATGAAGCGTTGAAATATCAGAGCTGTTCCAAGTAATACTGGTATCATCAGCAAATAGAAAAATTTTCCCTTTAATTTTCAAGTAAGTGATGTCATTAATGAAAAGTAAAAAAAGAATGGGACCTAATACTGAACCTTGCGGTACTCCACACTCAATATCTTTACAACTAGAGTCGGTGTCATTTATTCTAACCAATTGTTTCCTACCTACCAAGTAAGTTTTGAACCAGTTTAAAGACACACCCCGAATTCCATAGAAAGTTAATTTTTTTAATAGAATGTCGTGATTTACGCAGTCAAAGGCCTTGGAATAGTCGCAGAAAACGGTGGCGGAGGAGAGGTTACTGTTTAGTGATAGATATACATCATGTAACACAGAAAATATGGCATCACTAGTGCATTTATTAGACAAAAAGCGGAACTGATTTTGCGATAAAATATTATATTTAAGGAAAAAGGGCATAAGTCGAACTTTTATAAGTCTTTCAATAATTTTTGATAGTGCTGGTAACAAGGCAATAGGTCTATAGTTGCAGGCATCAGATTTTTCTCCACCTTTATGAAGAGGAATGACGATGGCAGTCTTTAGGCAGTTAGGGAATGTACCTTTTTCAAGGCAATCATTTACTAGCGAGACCATGAAGTCCAAAACATTATGCGGAATATTTGAAAAAATTTTAATAGATAATCCATCTGTACTACAGGACGATGTGCTTTTTATACTACGAATTGTTGAAATGAGTTCCGTCTTATCAACTGGTCTTAAAAAGAAGGTATCAGCAATGTTTTTTGAATTAGAGAGATAGGAAACTGGATCTTGTTGTGGCGAAATAGTTGAGGTTATATTTTTACTCACATTAACAAAGTAATCATTTAGATTTTCGGGGTTAGGAAAAGAAAAGGTTTGATTCGCTGTACTGGTTTTATTTCGAAAATCGTTTATTATTGACCAAGTTTCTTTTGAAATATTTTTGGAGCTTGTTAAGCGATTATGAAAGTAGGATTTTTTGGCTACTTTGAGTAGTTTTATATAGCATTTTCTGTACTTATTGATATAATCAGAGATGGGGATACTGTCATTAAATTTTTTAATATATAGCAGAGAACGCAATTTTTCGCAGATATGCGAATGCCTTTGGTAATCCAAGGTTGTTATGTTTTGACCTGATGTTCAATAGAGGAAATGCTTTATTAAAAATAGATACAAGTCTACAAATCACTAACATTATAGTCAATGTCCCCAGAAGAAAAACTCCAGTCAGAAGTCAAGCATGAATTATAGAATTTACGAAAGTTTGGAGTGGAAAAAATCCTACCTAATCGTCGGGTTTTTGAGTGAGGTGTTTGTAAACTGCTAAACTTGGTATATACCGCTTCATGATCAGAAAGCCCCCCACTAATAACTGTAGAATGGACGTCAGCGGGTGGAAAATCGGAAACCACATAATTGTCGAGGATGATGTTTTTGAGATTCTTGTTGGAGAATTAACGTGCATTGTGAGACCATATGATAAGCCATAACCATATGATAACCACGTGCATAACGTAGGTTAGTAGGCTAATCTATTACGTTGCTAGTGAACAGTGAACGTGATTAATTCTTTGTCTTGAAAATCAGTCAAGGAAGATCAAGTTTTCCAAACCGTGATTAAGATTATAAATATGATTAGAGGTGGAAATCGATCTCTTTTACACAGGCAACTTAAGCAGTTTTTAGTGGAAACAGAGGCTGAGTATGGAGACTTGCTAATATACAACCATGTAAGGTGGCTGAGTGCAGGAAAGTTCATGGAACGATTTTTTGCCATAAGAAAGGAAATTCCTCAACAAATAGGTTTCATCTGACACAACTGAACTGGAAGAGAAGTTTAAGGATCCAGAATTCTTAAGACAGTTAGCTTTTATAACAGATCTGACTAATCATCTTAACATGTTAAACTTGAGTCTTCAAGGAAGAAACCAGACGGTTTCAGATTTGATCGGAATGATAAACGGATTCCGGAATAAGCTGAACGTGTTTAAACGTGCTTTGGAAAAGAACAACCTGACACGCTTCCCTAGCTGTCTGCAAATAGCTGAAGAATTCAACGGTGAGGAAAATATTGAGTTTTCATCCTGCATTTCACAAATTGAACAAGTTATTAATGAATTCAATACAATGTTTAAACAAATTGAAAGTCTTAAAAGCTGTGTACTACTTTATAATAACTCTCTTGGAACAACCATTGATGATCAACCACCCAACTTACAGCTTGAGTTATGAGATCTTCAAGCAGACATGTTCCTAATCACCAGACAAGAAAAGGGACCTAAATTTTTCAAATTACTGTCAATGGAGAAATTCCCAAACGTGCGAGATTTTGAACTGAAAATGACGTCAATGTTCGGATGCACATAAGTGCCTTTTCCTCCATGAAATACATAAAAAATAAAAACATAAGCAACCTTACCGATTCTTCCTTACGTCATCTTATGAGAGTGTCTACAACTGAACTGGAGGTGGACATTTCTTCATTGATGGATGAAGCCGATCGACCACAGTCCTCACACTAATTGGATACATCTTTTTGGTTGCTTTTGCAATGTTTGTATTGATTATTGAAAAGTGTTATCAATAAAAAATGTAGTTGTTGAGCAATAAAAGAAATAATACTCTTTTTTTATTTTAATTATTTTTATACCTCACTTTATTTTGTTATTACTTGTAGCAAAATTATTATATGGCCTACGACAACATCAAAGGTTTTAGTTTTGGCCCTTGAGGCATTGCAAATTGGACACCCCTGAGTTATACCGTTTTATACTATTGATCACATATAGTAATACGGCAACCTTGATTATTTAAATGGCAAATAATAAATAACAATCAACCATTTATTACTAAAGTTTTATGTACGTACAAATAAAAAAGTTCACAAAAAATTTTATACGAGAAAAGAGAAAAAAATAAAAAAAACTTAAAAATTATTTTCTGTTATAAAAAATATGATTGTCTAAAAAGCATTCCAATACAAAAAATGTTTCTCACAAGGTTCACATTTGGTTTTAATTTGTCAAAAGACAAAAGAGGGAATCTAATCGTTATGAAAAGGAGACCAAAAAAGTGGCCTCTGATGGCGGACATATCCGGAAATGCGAATGCGCCAAATTTAAAATTTCCGACATCTATTTGGTGTCCTAACTAAACTAACTAACCTAATCCAACTAAATTTGATTTCTTAAAAAAGGAAAGACTCTCTTTCCTTGCCTAGTTTGGCCTCTCAAGATGGCACTTCCTGTCTAACAATATTTTTGCCCCCACTACCGCACTACTAATTCCCTCTTTTGTCTTTTTGCTCGATGATAAATATACACGTGGCGCACAGATGCATTTTCCATTCTCTGGGCTGCGTGTATACTTTTGACACACACCAAACAGACATGCGCACTAATTTAGAAATAGTTTGAAGAAAAAAAGTCGTGGCCCAACGGAACTCTGCACTGATTTGACGAGGCAGCCAAAGTGTTAAAATGAAAAGGAATTAACGAAAAAACCAATACAGCACCTATTAACAAGCATATTTAACGTTTAAATAAAAAATAAATAATATAAAACTATTATTCATTCTAAAGAGTTCATCATGGTCAAACCATGATTTGTATAACGGAATCACAGAATAATAAACAAACAGAATACCCACTCTCCACGGAAAATTAAGTACGCGCATCTCCTCCGCGCAGACGTTCCGCCATGTTTTAGGAGGATTTTTAAAGAAATTAGTGTTGTTTATGTGGTGTACATGGAAAAATTAACCAGGTTTATTTGACTTACGGCAATCATAGACATACTATACAATTATATTAACATTGTTAAATATAATAACATAAATATAATATAATTAAACATAAATATAAACAATTACATAACCACACAAATCATATGTCTGTGTCCTCCTAAAACATGGCGCGCGTGCTGAAAAACTTCAAAGGCGGCACCTGAGAGTGGAACTTCTGTTTGTTTATTATTCTGTGACGGAATGTTCATTGTCAAAAAGTTCATGATGCGGTTTATTTTACATACTTTTTTAAACTCTGAAGGACTTTTTGAATAATATAAAAACATATTTCACCAGTGCACTGGATGAATTTAAGATGGTTGCCTGATATTGTAATTCTGAAAGAAATTCACAGATAAAACCGGGCAGTACTTGTTTGACATCTGTTTAACTTTTTTTTGGAATTATAAATAAATTTCAAATTAAAAAAATGAGAAACCAACAATATAAATCCAATAAATTTAAATTTTTGGTGGCTATGCAACCAAATTTTTAAAAGTTTGGCGAAGGTGTCGGTACAAAAATATCAAATTTGTTGAATGATACAGAATTGACGAGAAATCCTGTAAAATCTACTAAAATTAGTCATTTTTCTACTGTTCATCATCAAGAAAACACAATTTGTAGCTGATTTGTGTGGATCCCATAGGTTATAAACTTTTAGGTCAACTTCTCTTGAAACGCCTTATTCTTGAGGAAAAATTTAAGGTTTTACTACGGTACAAAGATGTTCCAATTGATCTGGTAACTGACTCATCACTATTCATCTAAATTTATTGCTTATGAAGCTTTTGAATAAGGATGGAACCACATGTGTAGCGGTTTAAACCATAAAGTTAAACAATTTGAACCGTTGTCCAGAAAATAAGTTCTTCTTCATGTGCCTTGTCCGTTCCGAACGTTGGCAATCAACATGGCTATTCTGACTTTGTTTACGGCAGATCTGAATAGTTCAGCAGATGACAATCCGAACCATTGCCGCAAGTTTTGGAGCCACGAGTGTCTTCTCCTCCCTGGACCCCTTCTGCCACAGAATAATAATCAGAATGCCACTCTCCATGGAAAATTAAGTACGCGCATCTCCTTCGCGCAGACGTTCCGCCATGTTTTAGAAGGAACCAGTGTTGTTTATGTGGTGTACATAGAAAAATTAACCCGGTTTAATTGACTTACGGCAATCATAGACATACTATACAATTATATTAACATTGTTAAATATAATAACATAAATATAATGTAATTAAACATAAATATAAACAATTACATAACTCACAAATCATATGTCTGTGTTATGTGTTTCCTTCTAAAACATGGCGCGCGTGCTGAAAAACTTCAAAGGCGGCATCTGAGAGTAGACATTCTGATTGTTTATTATTCTGTGCTTCTGCTCTCTATTTTCCCTTGAACGATCAGCTGTAGAAAATAAGTTATATAATATAATACAAACATACTGCGAAAAATTAATATTCAATACTGTATTTTGACAAAATCTTCAGATTTTGAAGTTATAAATTGGATATTTTGTAATTTATACTTAAGGATATCCTTTCTAAAAAATAGGATTTTCGAATAAATTTGAATCAAACTGTACCGCAATTGCCTGATATATACTAAAGAATATTTTGAAAATAATAAATACATCTCAAAATCGAAATACACCTCAAAATCGAAATTAATAAACTTAACAAGTGATTTTAAATTCTACTGAAGACTTAAAACTGTAATGGGAAAGCTAGTTAAATTTTTAAAAAATTGGCGAAGGTGCAGGTACAAATAGGTCTAAATATATTAGAATTTTGCGCATCGAGCAAAAAGACAAAAGAGGGAATATAAAGGTAGTGGGGGCAAACATATTGTTAGACAGGAAGTGCGATCTTTAGAGGCCACATTAAACAAGGAAAGAGAGTCTCTCTCCTTGTTTGACATCAAATTTAGTTGGGTTATGTTATTGTTTGTCCTAAATGTCACATAAAATCTTATTTATATTGAAGTTGTTTAACCATTGTGTCGCATTTTAGACTCTTGTCATTAATAATTAATTAAAACTTTCTCGTCTAAGACACATTTTGAACAATATTATATAGCTACTGTTGATAAGTGTCGGAAAATTTAAATTTGGTGCATTCGCATTTCCGGACATGTCCGCCATCAGAGGCCACTTTTTTGGTTTCCTTTTCATAAGGATTAGATTCCCTCTTTTGTCTTATTGCTCGATGATTTTGCGACATCGAAGAAAAAATCTATATGTATTATATAAAATGAATAAAAAAGAACAAAAGTAAAACTATTTGTATATTTAAAACACTTTTGAACATTTAAAATATAATTTAAAAAATATAAAATAATCAGTCAGCCTTGTATTGTTCGTCGTCAAGGAACCATGATTTGTAGCTAATATATTTGTCGTTCCAATAGTCAATAAGCTCTTGCATCGTCTCCCCCTGACCGCCGTATTCCGGAGGAAGAATTTTGGGGTCTACCACAGTGTACAAATCTTCCAGTTGGCCTGGCAAGTGGGTCCTGACTCTTTCTTTTAGTTTACTGTTCATGAAGCTTTTGAATATGGATATAACAACGTGTACGGAGGTCTAAAACAGAAATATTACAAAATTTTAGAATGGTCATTATGACATTGAACGTTTTAAATAAAACAAAATTGTTCAAAATATAAACAAACTTTCAAAAACGTGTAAAAACTGTAAGTTTACAATATAAATCCAATTTTTACCGGTGCATTGATGAACTCAAGATGCTTGGGCCTGATGTGATAATTCTGCCAACAATTCACAGCTTTTCTAACTATACCGGGCGTCAATTGTTTAATATGGGAAACACTCTCTCCAGCCATGTCAAAAATAGCAGTTACTCCGTAAAGGTGTGCAGAAATAACGTTTTCCATAGCAGCTACATCCATCATCATGGTGCCGGCTTTAAAGACGTCATCCTGGGTGTGTATGCTTGGGTTATGGACGGCTGTTCGGACAATTACAACTATTCTAGAAATAAAACTACGATTAATATGTATATATTAAATATATGTGTCTCTCGAGCCGACAGACACTACTACTGATCGCTAAACAATACATTACTGATACTGGGAACTGAGTACTGGTACTGAGGACGGTTCATTTATACCTCCACCTGGGGCACCTGGTGGTTGTTATGTTGTGTTAAGTTGTAAATATACCTTAATATTTGTAAACCTACCTTAACTCTAGTGACATCTTAAATAGAAGAAGCCCGGGAGTGAAAGAGAAGGATAGACGACACTGTCACGACAGTCGACAGACTGGTCTTATGGCTCTTTAGAGATAAGTATCTATTAGTATTAGTTTGTCTTGTAATAAATAAAATATACTGAGGGTCGTCTATTATAACAAAAAGCCCACAGAGTAGAACAAACAGACACTTCGGACTGGGATTATCGAACCAACTATATTACTGATATTCAACCAATAAATTTGTTATTGGTAAACTCCAAAATTATCTTTCCGGAATAAGCAATCCACAATTTACTGGCCAACGGTTTAGGGCGAATGAGCTAGTAAGTGGAAGGACATTCTACTCTCCTGAGACTGAGAAATTGGTCTCGAAGAACAAAGAAAGTGGTCAATGACATTAAAGCACTGCATTAAAGGTCCCTGATGACATCTCTAGTATAAATTAAAATGGCTAGCACTATTTGCGCAAGAGACATTATTGATTATGGTAATCGGAGACCAGAATCCGGCAGGGGAGGACAACCATCAGGATGCAAGGGCTCCTCGGTCGTCAACATGCACAAAAATCAAAAAAAAATACTCAACCCTCTCAGATAAAAATAGCTACCTGGAATGTAAGAAGTATGTATCAGTCTAGAAAACTACATGTTATTAAAGAGAAAGAGAGGCGAAATATAGATATACTTGGGGTTAGCGATTTACAATGGCGAGGAAACGGAGAGATATCAATAAATAACCACAACATTTATTACACTGGAGGAGACAAAACCGATCATCGATACGGAGTAGCTTTCATCATAAGCAACACTATTAGAACATCCGTGCTAGGTGTGATTCAAATCTCAGAAAGAATAATAATGCTAAAAATTCAAGCATGAAACTGTAACATTAATATAATCCAAGTCTATGCTCCCACAGCTGATAAGACCGAAGATGAGATCCAGAAGTTTGATTCAGAATTGCACAATACAATCAAGTTAACAAAATCTAGAGATATTACTTACATTTTAGGAGACTTTAATTCAAAAATTGGAGTAGGTACAGTTGAAAATCTAGTTGGACAGTTCGGATTAGGAACTAGAAACGAGAGAGGAGAAAGGCTCATAGAATTCTGCCAAAAAAAGAATATGGTAATTGCCAATACTTTATTTCAGCTTCCTAAAAGAAGACTATATACATGCACGTCTCCTTCACACACAAAACCACATTGTCAGAAACCAGATAGACTTTATACTCGTAAATTTCAGATATAAAACCTCTATAACCTCAGTTAAAACTTATCTTGGAGCAGATGTTACCTCAGACCACAATCCGTTAGTTGCTGACGTGAAAATAAAATTAAAAAGAATTGAACTCAGTAAACAACAACCAAAAATTAATGTTAGAATGCTAAAAAACGAATTAAAAAATCCAAAAGTTGCTATCAACAAATCCTCGTAGATACTTTATCTCAAGCCCAAGCAACCTCATGTAGAGTCGTACGTCGCCATGTTACCAATTTCACTGGTAACTTTAACATCTCAACTTTATATATCTCAAAGAACATATAATGTAACAGAAATTTAAACTATTAACATTTAAGGGGTTTTTACCTAAATATTTTAGTGGCTCAAAACATGTATACTCAGTTACACTGATGATGAAATATAGATTCCGAAAACGGTTTGTAATAATTGTGATATAGCCCGTTTGAGTATTTTATTATACACCTTTTATAAAGGATTTTAAATCAAAAAAATGTTTTTTGAATTAAAAAATAATGTGAATGTTAGTATGCAAAAAACACTAACTGACAACAAACAAATTATGGATGTAAATAAAAAGTGGTATAATATTACACATTACTGAAACCAGCTCAAGAAAGTTTGATACAACATAGGTCAGAGGCTAAAAAACAATGAAAGACAGAAGAAATACTATTACAGATGGAAGAAAGAAGGAAATATAAAGGAAAAGTAAATCTATTTGATGAAACAATGTAAAGAGATGGAAGAACTAGAAAAAAATATGATATCAGAAATTTGCACAAAAGAACAAGAGAAGTGACTGGAATGGGTCGAAATAGACAGCAAGAACACATATAAGACAAAAAAGGAGTACAGTACAGTACACCAAAATCAATATTGAAACTTTAGTTTAGATATTCTGGAATCTCAAAAATACTCATTTACGTATTTTTCAAGCCTCGAAAATGTATATTAGGTATCGCATTTTTCGGATTTTAAATCGCCTATATCTCCAAAACTGTTAACTTTTGAGAAAAATGACATAGATCTTATTTAGAGTCACCCAAAAACCTAAAAAATATTTTTTGGAGCACAAAAGGTGATATTTTGAATTTGTTTAAACAATTTCTGCCCAAAAATTGAGAAATTTTCCTGAATATAATTATATAAAAATTAATAAAAATTATATGATTTTTCTTGAAATATGCGTTTGATGAACTGATCCCTTTTCTTAATTTCCACGCCAATGGTCGGCATTGGCATCAAAGAATCTCAAAAGCCGACGCTTGGCAAACTGACATTGGAAAAAGTATACTAATAGATTTACCAGAGAAATTAAGACGATGGGAGGAGTACGCTAGAGAACTTTTCCAAGATGAAAGAGGTGAAATGCAAAAAATACAAGAATTAAATCCTTTGGAGATACAGAAGATCACGATAGATGAAATCAAATATGCTATCAAAAACTCTAAAGACAATAAGACAGCTGGATTAGATGAAATACCAGTAGAACTGCTAAAACTAGTTTAAGAGGATAACTTGGAAGTATTGGCAGATTTATTCAACACGGTGTACGATACGGGAATAATACCACAAGAGTGGATGAAGTCAGCATTTATCTTCTTCTTCTCGTGCCACTCTTAGCGGAGATTGGAAATCATCATGGCACATGGAAATGCGTACTCGAGAAGGACTATTTGCCATCAGCATATTGATTCAGCGATGTCGGGATGTAAACGTTGATCTACACTTGTGCTTTGTTGACTACGAAAAAGCTTTCGATAAAGTAAGACATGAAAAACTAATATCAATACTTATGAACAAGCGCATTGACAGTAAATCATAAATATAGTGCAAAATCAGAAGAAATGAAGATCTGTAGAGCAGTTAGAGAGGGATGTGTTTTATCGCCACTTTTGTTTAACTTATATTCTGAAGAAATTTTCCAAAACACGCTCAATAATATCAAAGCGGGAGTTACGTAATCTGTGATCATAGCAACGAGTATAGAAGATCTACAACACCTTATCGAAAGCTTAGGTATGAATAGTGCTGAGATGGGAATTACTATAAACGCTAAAAAACGAAGTACATGCTAATTACAAAAAGACCACAAAATATACATCACCTATTGACAATTATTAATGGTAACGTGATAAAACAAGTAGAAAAATATCAGTATTTGGAAACTTAGATCAATGAAACCAATGATCATACTGCAGAAATAAACAGGCAAGTAGAGATTGCCAGATTAGCATTTATATGAATGAAGCCATTCCTAACGTACAAAAATCTAAATTTGGAGAGAATATAGAACTGAGACTTAAGACATTAAAAAAATTTAAAAAATGCAATTTAAAAAGAATCGAGGCTTTCAAACTCTGGTTATACGCAGAGTATTAAAAATATCATGGACTGATAGAATTATAAATAAAGAAGTACTGAAGAGGGTTGGTAAAGAAACAGAACTAATCACCACTATACATAACAGAAAACTGGAATACTTAGGTCACGTGATGAGGGAGAGATTTAAGAAAGAAGATCTGTTAGCCGAAGGCAGAACTCATGGTTGAAGAATTTACGTGATTGGTATCAGATTTGCTTAGAGCAGCAAGTTCAAAAATAAAAATAGCAATTATGATTGCCAACCTCCGTATGGAGCCGGCACTCTAAGAAGAAGAAGTAAAGAAAAAAATTACCTTTCAAATGATGTGCCACTCGACTACACTTACTATTTAAAAAAAAACTGTGGGTTGATGCTTGACATGTGAGGACATGAATTTGGCTTAATAATTCGTCTTCCACCCAAACTGTTAGTTTCTGGGGCGTCAAATTTTCGTTGAAACACACTGTATTTCTTTAACATTTTTACTAGTCTCCGTTTTTAAACACTTTCAAACAGAATATAACATTTCATAACACAATATATATTTTTCAAAAAACACATAAATGATTGATACCTACCTGTTATCTTGCTTCTCTTTTAATGGCACAAAACACCCCAATTTGATCAATTCTTGCAGGACATTCAACTCTGGATTCCTATTCGAAAACCATTCGGGAACATCCCTCCTCATTGTATAATAATTCTTTACTTTCTTCTTTGCTTTTTCCATGTCGAACTTAGACCCTCTCAAAAACGCCAACAAATACTGGTCTTCTAATCGAGCATGTAGTTGAGGTTCTTCTTCTTGTAACCATCGTTTAAGCTCCTCCAAGGCACTGGTCCTAGATTCGTCCGTTTCGTTTAGTTCTACTTCGGCGAATTTTTGAGCTTCTTGGTTATCGGATAAGTCGATTGCACTGGCCATTATTTTATGGTTTACCGGATTAATGTACTAAATAGCAACTAGTTTGTTTATACATAATATGCACCATATCATGTATGTTCCAGTCGGATAATTCGCAAACATTTGTCATTTGTATTTAATTTCACCTCAGATAAAACACGGGTCGTGTGACCTTGAGTTAAATTTAATCAGAAAGTAGAGCATATTAACAATCTTTATTTATAGACCAGTACAAAGATGACATTTATTTTGCATATCGAGTAAGCAATAATTTTGCTGATAAAAGAAAAATGTATTTAAATTAGAATTTTAATAAATATTTACGAAATATTTCTAATTTGTTTGTCGATTTTATTCCACTTTTTAAACTGATACATTATCGCGAAATTAGAAAACCGAAGATTTCTATTAACGAAACCAAAATTCAGATTTTTGCTTTAACCTGTGTCTTCTAAGAATTGTAAGGCAAACAGACGTTGATAAAGATGTTATTATAAATTTGCATTCCACCACATATTATCTTCTCAACTAAGCAAAGGACAAGGTACCTACAGTAGAGAATGTCGTGGGGTCATATGGTCTTGGCATAAGAAATGAAAGAGGAGAGAGACTAATCCAATTCTGCCAAGAGACGGATATGGTTGTAACGAACACACTTTTTAAATTACATCTTCTTCTTCTTTAAGTTCCATCTTCTATCGAAGGTTGCAAATCATCATGGCTATGCGGACTCTGTTGACTGCCGCTCTAAAAAGTTCTGCACTACTGCATTCAAATCATTCCCTTAAGTTCTTAAGCCAGGATATTCTTCGTCTTCCCACATTTCGCTTTCCTCGGATTTTGCCCTGCATAATAAGTTGTAATAATGCGTATTTTTGCCCTCTCATCACATGTCCCAAGTACTCAAGTTTTCGTCTTTTAATAGTTAATATTATTTCCGCCTCATTTCCTATCCTTCTAGTTACTTCCATGTTTGACATTCTTTGAATCCATGATATTCGTAGGATTCTTCTGTAACACCAAAATTCAAAGGCGGCCAGCTTATTCAGATGAACTTGTTTTAGTGTCCAAGCTTCCAGACCATAAAGAAGAGTAGAGAACACGTAACATCGAAGCAATTACATCTAAGAAGACTTTATACATGGAAAGCATCCGGTGATACTCCAGGGGAAATCATAAGAAACCAAATTGATTTTATCAACATAAACAAAAGGTTTAGAAATTCTATCACCCCAAAAAAACACATATCCAGGTGCAGATGTCTTCTCAAATCATAGTCTATTGATTGCAAATATCAACATATGACTCAAAATAATTCATAAAATGAGGCCCAAGATAGATATAAGACTACTAAAAGAAAATGACACCCAGATAAAAGTAAAAACACAAATTAATAAGAATTTTGGGAAAGTAGTTGAAAACACTACTAGAGACATAGAAGAACAGTGGAACGAAATGAAGACATCTATTACCACAATTTCGCATGAATATCTAAAATCACACAACAAATGTCGAAGTATTAAATCGAATGGGCAGAGAACAAGAATTGCTGCCAATAATAAAAAGAAGAAAAACTGCTTGACTGGGTTATATATTTCGAAATTCCAAGTACAAATTCTTAAAGCTTATTATGGAAGGGAAGATAGAAGGAAAACGGGACATCGAAAGAAAGAAATACTCATGACTTAAAAACATAAGGGATTGGACAAACCTCGATGCCCATGCACTCTTTAGAGCTACGCAAGATCGAGAGGAGTATGCCAAAATTGTAGCCAACATCCATTAATTGGATAGGGCACCATAAGATCTAAAATCAAAAAGAGAAAAGAAGCAAGAATAGATGACAGATAAAATATTGCAGATGATAGAAAAGCGAAGAAAATTAAAAGGTAGAAATGACAACGAATACAAAAAGTTGCATAAAACTATACTAAAGTAGATAAAAGGAGCAAAAGAAGCATGGCTGGCGGAGAAATGTATGGAAGTTGAAACACCACAACGCAAACATGACGATTTCCATATGCACAAAAAAATGAAAGAGGTACGGAATACCAAAAAACAACGCAATGCAGGCATAGTTGTAGACATTAAAGGCCATATTTTGACTACCATTGAAGATAAATTACGAAGATGGAAAGAATATATGCAAGAATTATTTGAAGATGCAGCAGAAAGTATCTAGTTATAACTTCTTGGTGCAATATATTTCAGCATCGAGTTATACTTACCGTTAACAGTTTAAGTTTCGAAGTTGTTCATTACAGTAATGGAACTTAAAATATGATACACACAAGTCCCCTGCATTGTCTCGCTATGAGGTCATGCGCAGTCGATTAAAATTAGAACGGAAAGTGAGCATATCTTATTTGTTATAGCACTATACACTTCATCTAATTTACTTACCGTTGCACGTCATCGGCGTCATAGTCCGTGAGGTCACATGATGCCAACACGAAATATTTAGGCGGTAGGTGTGTTCTTTCTTAGAATCACTTTGCCGAGTACACTAGCATTACAGCCACTAGACATATTTTATTATATACGCTTAGAAATAATATTTAAAGATTTCTATTAATGTTAACTTAAAGAAATACACAATAATATGTTTCATTTAATTTGTATAAATGCATTATAAAGCTTTTTTATGAAGAACATTTGTTCGGAACACACTGTAACTGTAATCGAACGGTGAAATTTTGGCATAAATTGGTAACACTTATTTGACAGTTGTGGTGTTGACACTTTTTGTACTTTATTATTTTGAATTTTAAAGTGAATACCTCTTGTTTTATATTTTTACCGATTTAATAAAATCTGTTCTTTTTAGAACAAAATTAGTGTGTTTTATTTGAAAAATGTCACGTAAGAATTTAAATAGTCGTTGTAAAGAGATGGCAATACTTTTGCAATAATTATGTGGCCTATTTGATTTAAAATGGAGTCAGGATTTTTTTATACTTTGGCAACCATGTCAACGATAATGACGTGTAACGGTAAGTAAATTAGATGAAGTATAGTATCATGTTTTAAATCGAACTCTCAGACCGTTATTGTAGTATTGGTTGCATACCTTACATAAACAAGGAGTCAAATTTCGTTTCAGCACCCCATAAAACCTCACCACAATTCATAATATTAGTTTATAACATATAGAAACAATAATTAAATGAAATAAAACAAATTTATCGAAATTTAAATATTTATTATGTACTTTTACGTCCATATTTATACTGAAACCTAAGCTGTCCTATATTTGTCACGCTAAAAACGGAAGGCGTCCATTCTACATAAAAATAATTGTTTGTGTTGTCACTTTCGTCCACTGTTGATTGGCCGACGTTGATAAAGTATATAAACGGACAAAGAAAAGATTCGTCTTCGTTGTCGTCGTTTTCGTCAAATTCAACATAGCCCTTTTCGTCGTTATGGACGAATTTCTTGGAAATTTTCAATTTAATCTAAGAACAAAAATGTTATCAATAAAAAAAAATATTTTTGAGAAAAATTAATAAGTTTTCAAATATATAAACGATTTAACATAACATTATAATAACAAAATTAATGGACTTATCTTAAAACAAAAAAAAAGTTCTGGAAAAGTTCGGTACATAATTACACTGCTCAGAATAACTCAAGAGCTTTCAGAATATGCAAATCTGTTGAAAGCAGCTCAAAACACTTAAAAAACAGAATCTAAGTCCAGTAGCGCACCTAGAATTGTCTTCTGGGGGGGGGGGGGGGGTTTGGTTGGGCACTGAAATTTTTTTATGTTACCTCCACCATTTTAAGTCCTTAAAATTTGTAAATAACAGTGTCGGAATAGGGTCCTGTGGGGGTTTTGGCCCAAACCCCCCCCTGGGTGCGCCACTGTAAAAGCCAAAGAATGGAAAATGCACTTTCGGCTTACACACAGTGGCGGCTTTTGTGGATAGGCAGGATAGACCGGGCCTACCCAATAATTTTAAGAGCTTTTAAATTGAAAAACATATGCAAAAATTATGTTAATGCATGTAAATAACTTTTAAATGTACTAAGTCACTCAATGCATTAACATCTGTTAAAACAACTATGTTATTATATTACCACTGAAAGCATCGAATCGTATTCAGGCATTTTAAATATCATTAATAGGACCGATCGGAACTGGCCGACCCAAGTCACATAAGATCCCCGTACAAAAAGCGTTTGAAGTTAAGCAGCTTGTCGGACAACGATTTTTATTGTCGTCTTTATGATTGCTGTTTAGGCACCAGACGATCGTCACTTGTAACGTAATTATCGAATTGTAATATAAATGTTCTTTTAAATTATGATAAAAAATATGTAACATAATCTATAATTGTAACAAATTTTTAAACAAACAACACAAATGTGTTGTATGAGAACGCCATAAATAACTCCACATTTTTTGCATGCATTCTTGATGAAACAACTGATATTACTGAAAGGGCGCAATGTTCAATAGTATGCAGATTAGTGGATACAAAAGGCGTTGTTCAAGAATATTTCTTAGGTTTTTTTATCTAGGGGAAGACCGAAGTGCTCCAGCGTTACGTGACTTACTGTTTAGTATAATTGGTACATTTGACATTAAAGCTAAATTAATTGCTCAAACCTACGATGGAGCTAGTGTTATGTCGGGAAAACTTAATGGACAAAAATTAGTGAGAGATTTTGCACCATTAGCAGTATTTCCCATTGTTTTGCTCACCGCCTCAACTTAGTTTTACAGCAAAGTTGCTCCAACATTACAACAGTCAAAATATTATTCTCAATGCTTCAATGTATTCCAGCTTATTTTCACCAATCGTCCAAACGGTCCTATTTTTTAAATAAAATACTTGGAAAACGAATTACCACAAATAGTGAAGTATAATAGAATTCGAATGCAAAAGTAGTATATGCTGTGTCACAAGAAAGAAAAAAATTGTTACAAGTTTTTCAGGACATAATGAATTGCCCAGAATCAAATGCAAATCAATTAGGCAGGCAGATGGTTTTAAACGTAAGTTGGAGGATTTGGAATTTCTATTTTTATTAAATGTTTTTAGTGATATATTTCAACAAACTTAGCTCTTATACAACATCTTGCAGAATAAAAATAATGATGTTCAATTGTGTGCCAATTCAGTGTAACTTTGCCAATTACCTGGTAGTTCATCTAATAACGGAGATCAAAGTCTTTTGGAGAAAGCTAAAACTAAATTTAAAAGGATCTTTTTTAAGATCTTGGACAATATTATCACTCAATTAGAGCAACGTTTCTCGGATAACAAAAAGTTTCAATAACTGGAATTGGGCGATAATAAAAGATTCACAGAATATGGCGCTAAATTTACGATGAAATTTGCTGGATTGGCCTACCCAAAATTTTACCACACCAGCCGCCACTGCTTACACAGCCATCTTTAGAGCTATGGTCAAGTATTTAGACCTAAGACCTATTTAAAAATCTTAAAGACTTCGGTTCTAGAACAATAAACAACAGTTAATAATTAGCAAACAAATAACTGTCAAATTGAAAATTAACTGTTGAAAAAAAAAACGACTTTTTTGTGTTTACCTTTGGAGTATCAAAAATTTCCTTTAGATGTAGTATGTTCATTATGTAGTAAGCTGAACTATTTCCAGTTTGAACAACTTCATATATACTCGGAATCCGTTTTGCGAAATAATTGTAGAAATCCTAAAATTAAATATTTTGCTAATAATTTGAATGTAACAAAAAATATTTAAAAATTGATGAAAAGTATTATCTGAGCTTCATTCGAACAATCCTTTTACATAAATTTACTAAAAATAAATTCAATAAGCAAATATTACACACCTCTGGTATTTGAAGAATGGTAGTGTTCACCATAGCATAGTTTTCAAACTGCATAGTGCGATTTATTGACTCTGTTACAAAGGACAACCAATCTATGAACCCCCATGAAACCACATCATTTGATTTTGGTGTCTCTTCCAGTACTTTTATTTCGATTGGCAAAATTTTTGGCATTATTTTTTGACATTGCTTTAATGTTTCTTTTTTTCTATGTAATATAAAGTTCTAAAAATTGAAAATCAATCATTATATTGTAAATTATTACTTATTTTATAGGACTTTCAAGAATTCACTTTTTATTAAGGTTTTTGTTAAGAAATCTACCCCAAACAACAATAAAGAAGAAAAAAATCAGTACCAGTTCTATTTTACCTGTAATATTACCAAAACTTCATTGTACCGTTGATTGAATAACCCAAATATTCAATCAACGATTGTACCTAATATATAAACTGGTCCTGATGCATTTTCAAGTTTGTACTTACAATACAAGCACTTGTATTGAATAATATATGAAAATATGAATAAATTGTGGTTAATCTAACAATCCTCCACGAAAAACCATTTTTTCACCTACCTTTTTCACTATTTTAGAACTGTTTTTCCTATTGACTAAATTTATTGCATGCTTATTTACATGCCTACATTTACCCTTTTGCATAATTTTGTTTGAATCAGTCAGTAAGACCTGATCTTTAGGATGAGTATTCTGGAAAACCTTTTTTGAATCAGCAACATTAAAATCATTTGGATCAGTAGAATGTTTGGAATCTATCTTCTCAGTAACTTTTATTGAATCAGTGTGTGTAGCAATATCTCTAGATTTAACACTTTGACAGGTATTATTATTATTCGAACCTGTAAAAAGATTCTTATCTAAGATCTAAGACATAAGTTAAATATTTAATTCACTATAGGCAAAAATTTTTATTTCCTACCTACAAATTCATTTCGGAGAATATTTGTAAATTCATCACTTAATCTGTGATCACTTGCTAGGGCCCATATACATGCATAGTAGTGGATGCATTTGTATTTTACATTGTCAAATCCTTCACCAGAAAGTTCTGACACTATAAATAAAAGATACTTAATATAGATGAACTTAATAAAGAAGTTTTTTAACAGTAGGAAGTATTTTATGATAATATTTAATACAGCTATTATATTTTTAAGTCAATTCCTTGATTTTTTTATACCTAGAAGTTGTATCCAATAACTTTTAGTTAATAATAGTAAAAAATACGAACCTGAAAATTCAGAACAACTGCAATAAAACTTTTCATACACATCCTTCCCTTTTCCTTTAATAAATGTGAAATGTAAGTACCCTAGAGGATGCTTAGCACTAGCTTGACATTTAACAGCCATAACTGTCTTGGAAACTCTTTGTACAAATACTCCTTCCTTTTCAGAGTCGAATGAACACAATTTTTCCTTAATATCATCTCTTATGTTTAAAGAACTGAGAACTGAAGGTTTAAGTTCCATGGGAGTAGCCTTATTCTGGCTTTTTAGCGCAGACCTAATATGAGTACAGACAAGAAGTTTTTTTGAATCTGAATCAGTACCTTCTTCGTGGCACTTTAGAATTGAGTTGTCGAAGGAATTTTTACAAGAATCAACAAAACAAAGAGCTACATCGGAATAAACGTGTGGGTCTTCGTTGGAGCAAGATTGCAGAAGTGGTAATTGTACAAAAGCTCTATAATTAGGCCCCATATCCCATATTTTCACAGAATAAAGCTGCTTTTCTGTATTTGTTAATAATTTCACTGCATCTACATTTACAACATTGCAGTTTTTATTCTTACACACTGAACTTCTTGTACCATTATAGGTGCCACAGCGAGCGCACTTTTTGATGCCCCGTTTTGTTGATTTTCCAAGGCCTGAAAGGAGCTTTTGGGGATACTCAGTAAAATCCTCTGACATTGTTAATAAAGTTGTATACAGTGGTCTCTTTTGACTAGGAATCATTTTGTTTGTAAAATAAATATAAGGTTTTTATTTCATACTTTTACTTAACCTAGAAATTCTATTTAAAGAAGGAAGTGGCTACCACATCAGAATACGACTCCGGAATTTTTTTTTTAAATTTTCCTTGGCAGTTCTTATGTATGCTGTTTCTAATTCTAACGATCTGGGCCAAAACAAAGACTCAATAATGTCAGTTTCTGTTTATCATCTCCCTGTTCCTTTTTTATACTTTTCCATGTTGTAAATGAATTTCGTTTGATAAGGCAAATGCAAGGAAAATTTGTCAACATTTGGTAACTTTTCATTATGATTTTTTGATCTATAGATATGAATATTCGAAAATCTTTTAAATTTAATATTGTGTTGTGATCAGTGTGGATCATTAGACACATCAGAATTCAGAATATCAGAAATTATTTCTTGCGCCATCTACACGTGATTTGTACAGTTAACCATCCATTTTTGCTCATATAAATATTGAAAATAAATAAATAATTCAACATAGACATATTTTATTATTTGTGTTACATATAAGTTTCACAGAAACAAATTTATTATACACATTGAAGTATTTGTAATACATTTATGTTAAAATAGTACTTTTACGAAAATAAATGATTTCACATTAAATAACTTAAAAATCTTTTAACATATTTACTATTTCTGTCACAGCGTTTTCGTTAGTTACCATAATCGGAGCATCCCTGTTTCCTATAACAGCCTCGCTGTCCTCTTCTGGCCTTTGGGTTTCAGGTTCTTTTGGAGAACTAAAAGAACCATGGATTTCTGTAGCACCCGTGTTTTCTAAGATGAAATTAACGTTATCTTTATTGATTCCTCCTCCAGGCATGATAATAATTCTACTGCCCACTTGCTCCATAAGTTTTTTAATCAATTTAACACCCATTTGTGCAGTACGTTGCTTTCCGCTAGTTAAAATTCTTTGGAAGCCCAAATCGATGATAACTTCGACTTCAATAGTGGGTCTTCGGCAAAAATCAAAAGCTCTGTGAAATGTAAGAGGAAGAGGATGGCAATATTTGATGATTTCACGACACAATTTCATATTTACATCCCCATTCTCCATCAGGATCCCAAAAACAAACCCGTCAGCGCCGTTTCTGCGTAATATCTTCGCATCTTCTTTCATAATTTCGATCTCGTCGGGAGTGTAAATAAAATTTCCTGGTCTGCAACGTAAAAGACAATAAACTGGTACCTTTCTGGAATTCAAATTTTGAACTTGAATCAGCAAACCAGGGGTAGGAGTTAGTCCTCCATCTGCCAGCGAAGAGCACAACTCGAGTCGATCGGCGCCCCCTTGTAGAGCCGCCAATGCCGACTCTAGGCTGTCAACACAAACTTCAAGTTTAACCTTTGACATTTTCATATCTACAAACAAACAAATCGAAATTTAGATTAATTAAACGATTACTTGAATATTCTTTTGTACTTACGAAATCTGGGATGTTCAGCGAACGCGATCGATGTAGAATTTTGTATGAAAATACTTTACTTTTGTTTACTTCGTTGAAATTTGGGAGACTGACATTCGAAAACCGCCACCAGTAAACTTCACTTCGCCGGTGCCGCTACTTGACCGACCTCGGTTCAGCTCTCGGCTAGATTCATACGCCATGCGCAGGTTTCGGTTTGCCTTTTTTTCCGCCAAATATTTCCTTTTTAAATCTGCTAATTCTTCGGTGACTCTTTGTAGGTCCGATTTGTACTCGTTTGCTTTTAAATCTGCCATGTTTAGCTCAGATACCATACACTAAAATCAAAAATTAACAAAGTAATAAAGAGAAACACTGTCATAGAACAAGAAGTTCGCATTCATTCACCAAACTGGCATTGTGACAATTACCAGCTGATCGCTTGTACGTCACGCTTCGACCTTGAGGAATTGTTTACGTTTATAAAGGTGCAATGTGCAATTCAATATTTTAGTTTTTTAGAAGTCCTTATTTATTGCATTTCTGAACAGTATTAGTTTGATTAGTGTAGTTTTAAGTTTGGTATCCAGTGGACAAAATATTTATAACACTGTTTCTGTTTTAGAGACTTTAAAACCCAGGAGCCAAGTGTGTGCTTGTTTACATACATTGTATATTCTTATAACATCTTTTGTAAATTGTAGCATTTATTGTAAAAGGTAAGAAAAATAAATTTAACAGTTGATATAACTTTTAATTTATTTAAAGTTAGTTGAAAAATCCTAAATGTATCTATAAAATCCTATATAAATGTGTCAATACATATAAACCAAGTCAAGACAGTGGTAAAAACTTGACATTTCCCTGTTTTCCAACCGATTAAGATACAACCTTGTTTCTCAAAACATAAAAAGGGGTTGGGTAGTTCCCTGTAAAAGAGAGGACTTTAACCAAATACATGTTCTGTCTGTTCACTTTTTTCTTAAACAATTTTTATTTTTTTGACTTACGAAAACAACATTGACATTATTTAATAAAACACTCTCAGGAGAAGCTAGTACCTCTAGAGGTGAAAGGTTATCTAAACAGCATATAAAGAAAGAAGTGATCAATCTTCTGAGGAAAACAGATTTGCCTGTTAGTAGTAAAGATACAGAGCTACTGGTGAATAAAACAATTTAGAATCTAGAAATTAATTATGGGAGGACTGTATTAACAAAAAGACAACTTTCGAAAGGGGTGACTTAGTATGGTTATACAATTCCAAATGTAGGAAATCTGCTGCATCCTATTTTTGGCTTGAATAAAACTCCAGGTAGTTAATTTTCTCCAGGTAGTGATAACTATCCCATTGGCCCAGAGTGCTAAAAATCTGCCAAGACAAATAAATATTTTTGACTTAAAAATTAGTTTATTTTAAAAAAATCTGAACAAACAACTATGGTACATTTGAAAATGATTGATAGTACAGATTTTATAGCAAAGGTCTAAATTTTTATAGCATTTTAGATCTATATAATACATTTTAGCCCCCTTTTAATAGTAAATTTTTATTTGCATTATTTTTGCATTTTATATGCGTAAAATTTTTAAAATAAATTTATAGATGGCTGAGAAAGTAAGTATATTGAGTGATTTGTACCGACCTCTACAGGATTCTCCCGCCTTTAGGCCTAAGACAGTTGAGCTATCCACTGCAGCATGCCAGAAGATTACTCCATATTGCATAACAGAATAAAAGTTTGCATAATATACTGATAGTAAAATCCCCTGGTCTAAATAGCTCTTCATTACAAGTAATAGTAAACAAAACTGTCTTATCAGTATTAAGCAACAACCAATTTCCACTGAACCACTGTTCAGCCTTGCTTAGAGTTTGCTCTGCCACTGTGAGGAGTAAACAAACTTTGTTTAATTTACTAATGTTTGTATTTTGAGAACAATTTCCGAAGTGGAAATTGAAATGTCAATAAACATACTTTAAACTTTAATTGTGGCTTATTCCCATTTAAATAGTAATTACTTTAAAATGCCACAAGAAAATAGCTTCAGAACAATATTAAGAATTCGTTATTAGACTTTCACAAAACTCCATTCTTCGAAAGTAGTCATCTGGATAAAGCTGCTGCGTTTTCAAATATTTAAAATTCTTATAACCGTGCTTTTTTCACACTTTCGTTACAGTAACATTGCTAACATCTAATTCCCTAGCAACGCTTCTATTTGAACATGTTGAATCTACCTCAATTATTGTACAAATTTGTGTATCCCGGTATTCTCTTTCCTCAACTTTTTCTGGTGACACTTCTTGAACGTGACATTTTCTGCAATATTTGAGGCAATAACAACTCTTAACATTTAAAACAATATTATGAACTGACTGTACACAATGAAATAGCCTCCCCTCAAAACACACAGAAAATAAATATACACACTGTTGTCCAGACTTACCACCATAAAATCATTTTTATTGCTTTAAGAACGTAGGCGCAAAATTTCGGGCCAATGCATTCATTTTTTTCGAATCCTGAGAAAACTAACAAATATTTTTGAAAAATTTAAACGCAGAATGAAAGATGACATTATTATCGAGGGCCGAAAGTCTCTAAGAATAAAAAAAAAGTTTTTTTGAATAAGACATTTGAAATTAAAAATCACATTAAATTTTCTTTTTTTTTCACTCCTGTAACTTATTAAAATAAATTATAGAAGTTTTGGGGGATTTTCGGCCCTCAGTAATAATGTATACTTGTATTCTGCGTTTAAATTTTTCAAAAATACTTATTATTGGCGATAGGAAACGGTGGTTCGTAGAATGTCGACAGCGCGCAGTGTTGCCATTTACTGTATATAGTTCTTTGCAATTTCGTTCGTTTTTGAAGCAACCATCTTTTTTTTTCTATTTATACTTCATTTTTCTTGCCATTAGCTTCGTTTCTACAAACACATTCCCTTTTTGTGCCCATTATTTGAATTTTCATCTTAGTATGGATCTTTGTTCCCTATTAGATACATTTTTTAAATCATTCTTGTTATATTAGGTTTAGCCTGCCTTCACGAACGTATCTGCATCTACAGTACTTTTCCAAAAATGAATCGCTTGATTTTACTAACTTATTAACGAAGATTTAATGTGGACGCGATCGATTTAAAATGAAAATTTAAATATTAATTACAATAAAAAACCTTTTGGTCTAGCTCTTCGGAGAATTTACATCACTGCCAGTGACTAATTAATATGTATATCATCCGAAATAAAAGCAAATCCAGTTCGATTTTTTATTAAAATAGCTGTGTAGAGACTATTGGGGTGGAAAACTAATTCAATATTAATCATTGTTAAGCATAAAATGTCGAATTTAGTGAATTATAGACGATATAACAATATGAACGCAAAAATACTTATTAGAATTGGAAAAAAATGTATTTGACTGATACGTTGTCACATTCATCAGACGAAAAAATTACAGATAAAACTTTTTTTCTAGTATTTGGCTGTTAAATTATAAGAAATTACAGAGAATAATATCTGCTGGATACTTTTTGTAATAGAAATGATTTATTTGTAATACTGTTGTCTAATAATAAGGACTTTCTTTTACGAAATTTATGTTTTGATAATGTATATTTTGTATACATCAAATATAAAGAGATAAAGGTTTAGAAAAGTACAATTTGATTATGCATTCTGCAATTTTTGATTTACATAAAAAAAGAATGAGTAAATATTCTTTGAAGAATAATTGCAGTTAATTATTATTCTTTGAAGAAAAATTGCAGTTAATTATTGGAGTTTTTTTTTTGGCAATTGCTCTTTGATAGATTAGGTGATAGATTTGGCAATCGTCAAATCAGCAGTTGCCAGATTGCAACAGATGTTAGCAATTAATCTCGAAAGAGACAAATATTTACTCGTTATTGTTTCATATAAATTAAAAATTACAGAATTCATAAAGAAGTAGGTATAATGAAAATGTAATTTTTAAAGCTTTCTCTCTTTCTATATGAAGCATTAGACTAGGTGGGATCTGTAGAAATTCAGACCATAATGGACATTTTAAATAGGAAGCTATTTTTTGCTGGAATCCCTTCAGGATGTGCCCAATATCGATAATCACGATATGCGCCAGTCGCAAACTCTGTGCTAAATTTTTTATTTAACAAAATCTGAAAACAATTGAAAATTTCTCATTTTTTTGCTCCTATTTTCGTTTATAATTCGGAAAATATTGATCCTAGAGAAAAAATTATACGAAGTTAAAAGTTTTGTTAATTCAATTTTACACAATATTTCGTTAGCTAGAAATTGAAAATTTAATATTTATTGTTGAAAAAATAGCACTAATTGGAAAAAAAAGTACAAAAAAATGAAGACCACCTCTCATGTATTCCGAGCGATATTTTACGCGAAAACGGTTTTTTATTTGTCTTTTTTATGGATGTTGCCATGAAGCGCATTACGTAAAAGTTTTCATATAAAAAGTACTTGACAAGACGAGGGTATTTGTTTAAAAACGAGCCCTCTATCACTTATGGTTACACGGCAAATGTATGCCAACTTTGACCTTAAATATCTCGGCAACCAGTAAGCCGAATGTATCTTTTTTTTTTTAAAGAAGCGTCTTTTGTATAAATTTTGAGCTCGTAAAGTTATTCAATTTGTTTATAAGCCTAAAAAATGTTTAAAACTTTAAAAAAATTTCTAAGCTCTCCTAGTGAACCGATTTGAATTTTACAAAAAGCGTTTGAAAGTTTGAGCCTTCCTTTATATGTAAAAAAATTGCAACTATCTGAGAGCCTTATTTAGGGCCTACTATAAATTTGAAAATTTGCGATTTTTTCCAGTAGGCTGGATTGCAAAATTATTATGCAAAACCTATCCGACCGATCTTAACAAAATTTAGCACACTTTTTAAACATATTAAAAAGTTTTTCTAGCGAAATATGGAGCTTGTAAGTCAAGTTTAGAAAGTCGAAAACATTTAAAGGAATAACTTCATTTTTTCCCAATTATTGCTATTTTTTTCGACAATAAACATTAAATTTTCAAATTCTAGCTAACGAAATATTGTGTAAAATTGAATAACGAAACTTCTAACTTGTTATAATTTTTTCTCTAGGATCAATATTTTCCGAATTATAAACGAAAATAGGAGCAAAAAATGAGAAATTTTCAATTGTTTTCAGATTTTTAAATAAAAAATTGTTAAATAAAAAATTTAGCACAGGGTTTGCGACTGGTGCATATCGTGATTATCGATATTGGGCACATCCTGAAGGGATTCCAGCAAAAAACTAGCTTCCTATGGAAAATGTCCAATCCAAAACAGATCCCGCCTAAACTACATACAACATATCCATTATAAAAACACCCCAACACTGCCAAACCGAAATATTTAATGGTTGACATTTGCAGCTATATTCAGCTTGTACTTTCGGTAAAATCGACCAAATTTTTTTAAAATTTTGATTGTAAAATTGTTTTGCGAATTTTGTATGATGATTAAACATATAAAAAGTTTTCTTTCTCGGAATATGAAGGTTATAGGTTTGATTTTAGTATGGGAAATAAACTCACAAATAAATCTTTATTTAAACTGTTAAATATGCGAAAAAAGAATGAAAAATATCGATATTTTTGAATGTTTTTCATATTTTTTGTAATAAAAAGTTTAGCCACATTTTACAACTCACACATAAAGAATTTATCAGTTATAGTGATATTTTGGAGCGATTTAGGTGCTTCACACCTAACTTAAAACAAATACCGTCTGCGTTATTACTACTTTTAAGTTAGGTTTTAACTACTATAAAAGTCACAAAAAAACGATATATGTTGAAGCTTAACAATGAGAACATAATACATATTTACATATTTCTTATCACGTGGATTAACTCACTTACCTTTAACTTATTTCCTCTTGATTTCAAGGCTCTCTGAGTCTTACACAACTCCTCCTGTATTCCCGGTCCCGGTTGTCGAGCTACCACTTTCCTCAAGTTCAGATACAACCTCTCGGCCTGCTTCAACTGCCTCTCTCTTTCGACGGCCAGCGAACCTTGTTGCAGCAATCTTCTGCAATTCGAAAAGATGACTCGTTTATATATACAGAGAGAGGGATATTGGTGTCCGTGACCAAGGTGGAGGTTATGTAAGTGCTTCGAGCACAGCGTTGCAAAATCATTTTGTTATTAGTTTTTAATTATTATTTATAAAAGTTTTTGTGCTATACTTAGAGATAGGTGGAAAACTGAAGAAGAAATGGAAGAAGTTCAATAAAAACAGTGAAGGCGGGAGTTAAGTTAAAAAGTAAAAACAGGAGAAGCATCAAGAAAATATCATTTAGTCCTCGAAATGGAGAAATACTTATAGAGTAGAAATATGCTTTATTATCACTGAAAATTGTACAATTTTACATAAATCGTCAATATCACAAAATAAAACATAAAAAAATATACAATCCATTACAAAATTTAACTAAATTGCAACCTTACGAACTAGTTTACGAATAAGTTTAAGTTGCTGCAAATAAATTTAAAAATAATTGATGGATTCGACCGTTACTTGATGGAAATTCATTTTATGTAACAATAAATTTCCAAAAAAAAACACCAAATTTCTCCTTCATATGACCTCTCATCAGATCTTCATAGATCTACATAGCCAAATTCATAACTGTCCTAAATATATAACACTCTCTAATAAAAGAACAAACTGGAACAGATATAGAGAAGAAATAAAAACATCCATTACCTAAACTTGTCTCTTAAAAGTGATAGCGACATAGAAAATGCAGTTGCTCACCTAACTACAGTTAATCGGCAATGTGCTTGGACTTCCACGCCAGAATTTACAAATACAACCCCGAGTCCTATCCTGCTCACATAAATTCACTCATATTGGAAAAAAGAAATCTGCGAAAGAAGTGGCAGCTCACTAGGCATCCAGAAGATAAAGCAAACGTTAGTAAAGCTTGCAGACTACTCAAATGAAAACTGATCCAACATAAAGACAATGGAATCAACAAATATTTAAAGAACCTCTCACCTGCAGATGATACAAACTATTCGCTGAAGAAACTAATAAAAAACTTAAACACAACGAACAAATGAATATGCCAATCATTAACCAAAATGACACTTGAGCTAAAACTGACATAGATAAAGCATATACTTTTGCGAATCATCTATGTGAGGTATTTCAACCACATCAGAGGAAGAAGTCGAGATTGAGACATCGATACAAAGGCGGATGAACCAAGATCAATGGCATAAGGATGCAGAAGGCAAGGAGAAACCACTGCATTAAAGATCCCTAACGATTTCTCAAGAACAACCACAAATGGACGTAAATCAAACAATGGCCCCGAGTGTCCAGTGTCTCTCTAATGGGACAGTCATGCTAGAAATGAAGAGATTATACATACAAGTATTGGGCCTTTCAGAAGTTCGATGGCCAAATTCTGAAAACTACACCAAGGATAATTCTAGAAAAACTAGAAATATTGTAGAAAATTTTGGGTTAGGTAAAAGACACAAAAGATGTGATAGACTAGTCCAGTGTTGACAGGAGAAAGAATTAGTCATAACAAATACATACTACGACCTACCCTCACGAAGATTATAATACACGTGGACTTCTCCAAAAGATAACACCATCAATATAATCAGAAACCAAATAGATTTTATAACAATTAACAAAAGGTTTCGTAATGGAGTACAAAGTGAAAAAACCTATCCAAGCGCAGATGCAGATACGGACCATAATCTATTATAAGCAAACGTCAACATTAAACTCAGAAAACTAGAGAAAAAAGTTGAAACCCCCAAAATAAACATCAAAAACCTAAAAGACGACAACTGCCAACAGCAACTAAACGCAGAGATAAATAAATTAACTGAAGGAAGCGTGGAATGGTCAGATATGAAAAAAGCCATACTAAAAGCAGGAAAAGAGGTCCTAGGCGAAGAAGAGAAAATCACTAAATAAGACTGGACGACACCGGGAATAGTTGAGCTAATAACTGAAAAAAGAAAATACAACAATAAAGATGGAAATAAATATAAAACCATCAAGAATAGGATCAAATATGAAATCAGAAAGGCTAAGGAGGAATGAATGAACAAGGAATGCCAGGAACTGGAAGAACTCAGCAACAAATATAATACCTCAAACTTACATAAAAAAATGAAAGAACTTACAGGCAACACCAGACAAAGAAGTACACTCATAAGAAGAGAAAATAATGGAGGAATACTTATTGAAGAGAGCAAAATAAAGGAAGTATGGGAACAATATATAATCCGTCTGTTCCATGACGAGAGGGAAAATGAACAAGATGTAGGTGAAGAAGAACAATACCTACAAATTTTATCCTCAGAAGTAAAACATGCCCTACAGTATGCAAAACAAGGAAAAGAACCGGGTCCTGATCAAGTTCCAGTCGAACTGTTAAAAGCCTTAGATGACGGTAATATAAAGAAACTCACCCGAATTCTCAACCACATATAATGTACAGGGCAACATCCCGGAGGAATGGCTTAAATCGATATTTTTACCTCTACCAAAAAACAACAATCCCAAATCATGTAATGACTATAGATTGATAAGCCTGATATGCCACCCTTTAAAGATTCTCTTGGAAAATTGTTCAAAACCGAATTTATAAGAAATGTGAAGAGCAGATAGATCAAACGCAGTTTGGCTTCAGAGGAGGCATGGGTACAAGAAAGGCATTATTTGGGTTGACGGTACTCTTGCAAAAATGTCGGGAATATAACAAGGATGCGTCTTGTCTCTGACACTATGAGATTTGCAGATAACACGGTAATTATGGCTGAGAGTATAGAAGAACTACAAACTTTACTAAATGCAATAAATAGTGAATGCAATCAAATAGGACTTGACATCAACACAGATAAGACCAAATTTATGATAGTATCAAGGAGTCCAATAAATAATAAACAACTAAACCTTGGTGGACAGCAAATAGAGAGAGTGACAAAATATAAATACCTGAGAGCTTACACCAATACAGAATTAGATCCAGACTAAGAGATCAGAGTACGAATAGAAATGGCAAGGGCAGCGTTCTTAAAATTCAAGCAATTGTTCTGTGACAAAAATCTGAATACTGCGCTGAAACTGAGGTTTGTTGAATGTTACGTCTGGTCCCAACTACTGTACGGGGTAGAAACATGGACGTTAAAAGCGCAAATAGTTAAAAAGCTTGAAGCCTTTGAACTGTGGATATACCGGAGAATGTTGAGAATTCGATAGACTGCCAGGGTCACCAATGAGGAAGTGCTGAGAAGGATGGGTCGCGACAAAAAATTGTTGAGAACAAAAGAAAGAAAAGTACGCAAGACTGCATACCTTGGACAGATACTGAGGAATGATAAATATAGTCTTATGCAGGTCATCATGCAGAGTAGAGTCGATGGCAAAAGCGGAATAGGTAGAAAGAGGAATTCATGGCTACGAAATATTCGAGACTGGACAAACATAACTGTAGATGAATTATTCCACGTTGCAAAAGACAGAGAAGCCTTTAGAAACTTTTTTTGGCGGTCACCAACCTCCGTCAATGGGACGGAATAGGAAGAAGAAGATCATAAGCACTTTTAGCTGCCTTAGCTACTTCTTTATCACCAATAATACATGCTTGTCCAATAACCCAAACAAATTTGATATTTTTTTGTTTCTACATTAAAGACCATATCTTAGATTTAATGTTTTTAATTTAATGTGTATAATATATGATTAAAAACAATAATTTGAAAGATAAAAACCTATTGAAAATTTATTTAAAGAAAAGATCTACGTTGAATCAATAATAATAGTAGTACTAGGACCTTTAACAAGATCTTATACTAATTGCAAAACGTTTATTTAGCGCAATTCACAATTCTAACAAACGAAATATTATAAACTTAAATAGTTTTGAGGTAGCTTATGAGATCTGCTCTGTCATTCGCCTTCTTCAATCCCGCAAACACCATCTTGGTGCCCGGTATGTACTTCTTCGGATTTTCCAGGTACTCGAACAGCGTTTCTTCGGTCCATGTCACCCCTTTACTCTTATTAGCGTCGGAGTAAGTGTACGAAGGAGCAGTTCCAGCTTTTCTTCCTACGATTTTGTGCAAATTGGGCCCTAATTTGTGTTTACCACCTTGGTCTACTGTATGGCACTGGGCGCATCTTTGCTGGAAGATTTTCTTGCCGGATTCTACGTTTCCCGCAGGGATACCCATTTCATTAATAAACGGTCACTGTTCGATAGGTAAATATTTCAAAATGTTTGCTACAATTTTAGAAACCGTCAAATTTTGAAAGATAGTTGACAACGTCATCGATGACAGTGTGAATATAATTTATATTTACGCGAATGACGTCATAATATTGTTTTGAAGATATTTTTTTCTGACATGTTAAATCATTAACAATTTTTCACGTCGAATAGTTTCAAATACGAATCTTGTAAAAATATCATTGCATTTCTGCATTATTTTAGGTTGCGATACAACATCTGGATTTGCCGGAAAAGGAAAGAAAAGTATCGTAAATTCTTTGTTAGATTATTGTCAAGTTTGGCTAACATTTTTTATGAAAAAGATGCTAATAAACAAGATATCGCAAAAAATGGATTACAATTAATCAAATCTATTTATAAGTGCAAAAATGATCAGCTAACGCTGAATCAATTACGATTTCTGGGGCTGGAAACAACATCAACGAGGCATTATACCCAAATTTATAGAAAAGGAATTGATCCCGGAAATACTGCTCAAAACTATTTGCTGCAGCTGTGAAACTGGATGTAACAATTTAAAATGTGGTTGCCGAAAACATGGTTTGAAGTGCACAAATTTATGTTCAAGTTGTCACGGCTCGGAAAAATGCTCTAATGTGGAGGAAAAAGCCTACGAAGAAATTAATGATAATGATTCTGATGAAATTGGGGATGAGGAAGTAACGCATACAGGAAACAATATTGGAGATGAAGACGGTGATGGTCGTGAAGATTTCGAAGATCTTCTAGAATCAGAAGTCAACGAATTAATGTCATCAAAGAG